CCTCCTCCTCCTCCTCCTCCTCCTCCTCCTCCTCCTCCTCCTCTTCTCTATTCCATTCCATTCTATCTTATTCTATCGCTATCCCATCCTATTCTGAGTCGAATCACCCCTGGATCAGTTTCCCTCCGGAAAGGGGGCCAGGACTGACCGAAGCACGTGAACCAATTAGCAGAGAAAACCCAGCATTAGAGGCTCCGTGGCAAACGGACCAGCCTGCCCCAAATGTTAAAGGCAGCACCAGCGTCCCCCCCAGATTCTTCCATCCAACAGCCACTTCTCAGAATGCGTGTTTTTCAAATCGAAAGGATCCAAACCTCATTTCAAGTCCCACTTTTTTCCAATCCAAACTTTCGACATTCCTAGCTTTTCAATTTATTTATTTCATGCACTCTTATTTTTGGATATACATTGCTTTAGCAAAGAGAATGGAAGTACGTGCCACCGCAAATAAATAGCTCTACCTTTTCCCTGGGGAAGCCACATTGCTTGTAAAAACTGCAGTCAGTTTGTCTCAGCGCCTGTCAAAAAGCTTCCTATTTTCACCATGAATGGAAGCTACTCACAAAAATCAGCCCCCAGCCAATCGACAAGTGTCTTCTTTGCCATGTCAGGATGAGATAGGAGACGAAAGGGGAGCAGGGTGGAAGGGAGAAAGTGCTTCATTCCTCACCAGACCGAAGGTTCACAAGGAAGAAGCGGGGGGACAGTGAAGCCTCCTGGAAGAACAGCATTAAAAGCCAGGGAGACCATCTGGTTTAGCGGTGAAAGCACCAAACTAGGAGACCATGAGTTCAAGTCCTGCCTTAGCCATGAAAAGCAGCTGGGTGGCTTTGGGCCTGTCACTCTCTCTCTGTTGTGGTTCACTGGCAGCAGGTGTGGATGGCTGAGGTCTCGGAGAGCGAGGACTCAGATGAGGGCCCTGGGTGTGATGCAGGGATGGGGCCAGGACCATCAGGGAGTGGAGCGCTGCCTTCGGGGATTGTGGAGGCTGGCAGCAGTGATGAGGAGTTCCCTGAGGAGCCTGTGCCCAGTGCGCATCAGTGCAAAGCTGCTTGAAGGAAAGAGCAACTGCAGCAGCACGGGAGACTTGGGAGTAAGGCTGCAAGGTGATGGCCCCTCCCTTAAGAGATAAAAGCCAGCTGAGAAACCGGAGTTCTTTGCAGGAAGCAAATAAGTTTTTGCACTCAAGCCTTGTAGACATTTAGAATATATCTTGGTTGGTGTTTGGAGACACTTCGTTTGAAATATCTCTTAGTAATTTTATCTGGTGTTCTTGGCAGCCTTGCACAACCCTGGCAAGGCTCATTCTTATCAGACACAATTAGTTTTAATAGCCTTTTAACCGGGAAGGAACGGAATTCATAAAGAATCATTAAAAGCAGTGGCCCCCAACCTTTTTTGTGCCACGGCCCGGTACCGGCATCACAAAATGATCCGCGTCCCGGTACCGGTATCAGCACACATGACAAGGCAAGGCGAGCCAAGCGACCGGCCAGCCAGCCGTCCCCCGCTTCTCCCCGCCACCTTCAACTCCTCCTTTGTACCTTTGTCGATGGGCTTCGCTTCGGGACGGCTTCGGGACGGTCGCTCGGCTCGCCTTGCCTTGGGTCCTGAAAGAATCCTCGCGCCTTAGTTTCGTTCGAAGCTGCCACCCCGCCTTCGATGAAACTAAGGCGCGAGGATTCCTTCAGGACCCAAACGCCGCTTTCCAACCGGAAAAGCTCACCCGGAAGCACTTTCTCATCAAACAAGATGGCGGCGCCCAGCAAACCGGCGGCCCGGTAGGAAATGTTCCACGGACCGGTACCGGTCCGTGGCCCGGTGGTTGGGGACCCCTGATTAAAAGGTTTTGCTGTTACCTCTGTCTGGTGTTTGTTTCCTTGGAACAAAGTTTGGTTCAGAACACTCTCAGCCCCACCCACCTTACAGGGTTGTTGTTGTGGGGAAAATAAAAGAGGAAGATGTGTTGCAAATGTGTGAAATTCATGTTTTACCGACAAAGAAATAAAGGGAGACTAGCATAGATCTATTTCAAGCTATTTAGCTCTCATCAGCTAGCTAAGTTTCAAGCGAAATAGCTTGAAATAGATCTGTGTTAGTCTCCCTTTATTTCTTTGTTGGTAAAACATGAATTTAACACAAAAAAATAGTTTGTGGCGAAACCGAGTGCCTGAAAAGGCCCTTGGATTGGGGGCTGAAAAGCGAAAACAGAAGCAGGATGCTCCATCCCATAATTGGGTAGACTGGTCCCAATGGAGAAAAAACATGTGTTGGAAATGTTCACAGCCTTAAGTTATTCACGAAAATAATAAAAGCGGGAAATAAACAAGTAACAAAGCAAAACAACAGAGGCGGCCCAAAGAGGAACGATCACAACGGCGTTACCGCCAACAGTGAAGGACTGAAGAATAAATGGCCCCCAGGGCGGATGGTATTTTGGGCTCCTTTCAAGGCTGGTCTCACCACTGATGGGAGGTTTCAATGGGGCCAATTTTCCTTCAAAGGAGACAAGAGACCGAGAAGGCCCAGAGCTAAACTTGGCCATGAGATGGAAGGTAGACCTCACCCACATCATAGTGTTGTTCGGACCCAGCTCCCCAAACACGACAAACCCCCTGAAATGAATTCAAAATGTTCCTTTATTAGGAACGCCGGTAGCTCCGGCAAAAAGTTTCTCTTTCAACACAGGCTAACAAGTCTGTCCATCCAGAAGATGACCACCCCTATTCATCTCCACCCCCTAACTTTTATCCCCAGAGCTAGGGTGGGGCTTCACTAGCAGTGGCGGCTCTTCCTTCCCAAGGACCGGCCCATAGATTTCCACCGCTCTCCTCTCCTCTGCCTTCTGTGCATTCACATGTCAGGCACTGGACGCAGCTGTTCCTCCTCTTCCTCATCACCCACCTCCAGACCTGGGGGCTGTTGACTCCCCATCTGAGAGCTGATGGATGGCCCAGACTCCTCCTCCCTCCCTCCCTCCCTCCCTCTTTCCCTCTGTCTCTCTCTCTGTGCATGGCGGGGGTGGGGGGCAGAATAATGTGCGACTAAGGCAAGACCCCCATATGGTCACTTTTGACAAAAAGCACCAGGTCCGGTGGATGTTCTGGTCATGCTATTTTTTCACTGATATAAACTGAGGCTTTTAACTGCTTAAGTTTCATGCATGTTAACATTTTGCTGGCTGCCTGGAGTTCTAACCAAAGGGCAAAGTGGAAAGACTCATTACAACAAGGGTTTGGCGGCCGTGATTGCAGAAGCGGCTTGGAGAGGCTGCAGATGTCTTGAGCCGCAACAGGGTTGTTGAACAGCGAGCTGTTCAGTGGTCAAGCAAGAGCAATCAGCTGCCATTTGGCATCTGCCACCTTCTTCCAATGTAAAAGGAGAAATGAGAAGGAAGCAGACGGACTCCGTGAGGCTCCACTGGACTTCCCTTTCTTGACCCAAAGGTGCTTCTTTCCAAAGGCAACGGGGCTTTGTTTTTTCTTGAAGATGTTTCGCTTCTCATCCAAGAAGCTTCCTCAGCTCTGGCTTCACCATCCAGCCGTAGCTGAAGGGAGCTTTTTGGATGAGAAGCAAAATGTCCAGTTGCCTCTTGAAAAAGCACCTTTGGGACAACCATGACCTGGATGACCAAGAATCTCCAGTGACATTCCCTTCCTTTAGTCATTCCAGAACAACTTCAAGAACTGATTTGTACATTTTTTTGTCTTTCTTTCCCACTTTTTCATTTTTCCCCCCGTTACGTGGTCAATCTGGAGAGAGGCTCACGTTGGGAGCCAAAGTAAGATTGGCCAGCTGGGGTTTTGCACCACACTGCTGGGCGTGGTGGCTGCAGCTCACCTTCCCACACCCGGCAGCTGCCATCCCCACCCCAGGACTACAACATTTTCCTTTAACGTACTAACTACAACAATGAAAGAAACATGGTGGTGCTGTGGTTGGAATACAGCATTGCAGTCTAGCTCTGCCGACAGCCAGGAGTTCAATCCTGACAGGGTTCAAGGTTGACTCAGCCTTCCATCCTTTTGAGGTTGGTAAAATGAGGACCCAGATTGTTGCGGGGGGGAGGGGGTGACGTGCTGACATTGTAAGCCACCCAGAGAGTGCCGTTAAAGCCCTATGAACCTTGCTGTCCTGGTATCAGGAAAGCAGAAATATTATCTACTAGAGATCTTCAGCTGTCGCGGAAAGAATTGGATGACAGAGGCAAAAGGCTGTTAAAAAGGTAGGAGAACGTGCACCTGAGGCCGGGGTGACCCCAGGAGTGGTGAAAAAAAGTCAAGGTGGCAATTGCAGTGGGGCAACGGAAGTTCTTCCATCGTGATTTTTTGTGATCGTGCCCTTGGACCGCTCCAACTTGAGAGTTGGGTCAAGAAAAGGCAGAGAGACAGGATGGACATTGTGAAGTATGGCGGGCACTGGAATATCCATGCCCACAACCTCTAAGAGGCAAGGGCATAGTTCTCCTCTCTCCCCCTGTTATTGTTGGCAGGGACCGATTTGGGGTTGTGGTTGTTTTACCTGGCTTGATGCTGCTGAACACGGCCCGGGAGGATCGGTAGACGGCCTCGTAGATAGCCTTCTGGTCGGGAGTGAATTTCCCGTTGGCAGGAAAGGTGCAGGTGATGTCTGACCCGTAGCAGTAATACTCTCCCCCCATGTCAAAGAGGCTGCGGAAAAGGAAAGAAAGGAAATGCCCGTTTGAGTCTGAATACGGACTGCAGCACGACCACACAGTTGTCTGCGCAGGGAGGCTGATTGTAGACCTCCTCAGATTCTCCTCCTGGAGAATCAAAGTAATAATAAATCCCCTGGTCCAGATGGGATTCCAGTAGAATAGTACAAAGCCACAATAGAGTTAGTAGGGCCACTGATGCTGGAAGTGTTTAACGAAGTACTTTTGGCAGCCAAAAAGCCAGACTCATGGAGGGGGGCGTTGATTTCGTTAATTCCGAAGGAGGATGTAGATGCCAGATATATCAACAATTATAGACCAATCTCACTTTTAAACGCTGATTATAAATTATTTACCTCAATTATAGCGAATAGAGTAAAACAAGTTTTAAATTTATACATTCATGAAGACCAAAATGGTTTCCTTCCATCCCGCCAAATCAAAAATAATTTAAGAACCTTTATTGACGTCTTAGAATATTATGAAGTTCATCCAGAGAAACAATTTGCAGTCATGTTTTTAGATGCGGAGAAAGCATTTGATAACTTACATTGGCACTTTTTAATACAAAAAATCTATAACATGAGTCTGGGCACTAAATTCGAGAACATTATCACAACAATTTACAATACCCAACAAGCCAATATACTAATTAATGGTGAACAAACAGGCCCATTAAACATTGAAAAGGGTGTCAGACAGGGTTGCCCCCTCTCACCCCTCTTATTTATATTTGCTTTAGAATCACTGTTAACGCGGATAAGACAAAACTCTGAAATCCAAGGAGTTAGGGTCAAAGCAGAGGAATATAAACTACAGGCGTTTGCAGACGATATGGTTTTCTTCCTAGAGGAACCCATGGAAAAAGGACATAACCTAATAAAAGAACTAGAACAATTTGGTTCAGTAGCAGGATTAAAGATTAATAGAAATAAGACAAAATTACTGACTAAAAATCTAACAGAGAATCAGAGGAAAGAATTAGAAAAAAACATGGGGATGCAGGCAACAAAAAAGGTCAAATATTTAGGCATATGGTTAACACCACATAGTAAATCACTCAAAGAGAATAATTATGATAAACTGTTACAGCAAATGTAGACCTCCTCAGAACAGGTTGTCATTGAAAAGGTGAAGCCGGAAAAGAGGACAATGGTCATCTAGTCCAGGGGGCTCCATCCTTGGCCACTTTAAGACTTGTGGATGAGGAATTCTGGGAGTGGAAGTCCACAAGTCTTGAAAGTTGCTAAGGTTGGAGACCCCTGGACTAGTCCAGCCTCCTGTAACCGGCAGAGATCCACCCTTTGAGGTGGGCCAGCTCAAGAAACAGGTCCCGAAGGATTCCAGAGATGCTAATTCCTTGCTACAGGACTCTTGAACAGACTCTTGAAAACCTGTCAAGAGTTTCTCTCTTTTATTTCAAACAAAATAGCTTCTACTTACTTTCTCCTGCTTTCCAGGATTGAGATCAGTGGTGGGATTCAATCTTTTTAACTACTGGTTCTGTGGGCGTGGCTTGGTGGGCGTGGCAGGGGAAGGATACTGCAAAATCCCCATTCCCTTCCCACCCCACTAACCTGATTTCCAGCCCTGTTCTCCTGGGCAGGGCAACCGAAGAAGACCCAGCCGATCAGCTGGGACTCAATGGGAGGCAGAGATGGGAGCAGAGCCAGTCAGAGGTGGGATTGGCCGGTTCTCCAAACCACTCAAAATTTCTGCTACCGGTTCTCCAGAACTGGGTGAGAATCTTCTGAATACCACCTCTGATTGAGTTGCCATTTCTCCTCTTTGAAGGAATGAATGTCCTTTCCCAAGGCCATCTCCACACATCTGTGATGTCCCGGGGCATGGCACAAAAATAACAAAGTCACAAAAGTAGATAAATTCCCTTTAATGCCTCCAACTTGGGCCCCAATGTCCAGTTATCCTTGGCTGGAGAGCAAACTCTTCCAAAAACCGTCTACAAAAGGAAGAAATGCAGTCCAAACCCAAAGTACAGATAAATTAGAATTAAAAAAACCAACACCAACCACACTGAAGTAATTAACACGACAGGCCATGATAATAAATTGCAGACTTCCAAAAGATAACGAAGCACACACAGTTGGGAGGATGCCAACACCCAGATAAGCCTAGACAAAGATAAGGCAGGCTTTGCTTCCATCAAGGTGCTGTGTGCAAACGCCCTTTCAAATCCTGTTTTCCCAGCTGCAGCTAATGAAGGGAATCAGGGCCCTTTTCTCCCCCATAACCCACTTTGCTCCCTTCTCCATTCCTCCCTGCATGTCCTAGGATGAAGAGGGGATGGGCCTGGGTCTTCCTCTGAATGCCCAGCCGCACTGTGCCCTTCTCCCGTTTCTTCCACAGCCACCGGAGCCACACTCCCACTCCCTGTCAGCTGTTCCACCTCTCCCTCGGAATCAGACTCCAACAAGGGCATAACAACATCCCTTCATAGCTGGAAAATCTAGCCTTTTGCCTGGTTACTGAATTAATCCTTTCCTTCTGTATACGGACCTATAACCTGGTTCACATTCCTCCGATTCATACTAGTCTACAAGGAATAACTGAATATCTAATGTTTTGTGAATGCAACTGTTATGTCTTTAATTTAATGAAGAATGTTTTGGGAAGTCAGCTGTCTTTTCCTTCAATCTCCACACTTTTAATATCATGATTAGGAGATAAACCGTTACTTAGCAATATAATTGCTGCAGAATTTAATTTAGTCTTCTAAATCCAAGTTTTACCTATAGCCTGATTAAGGAAAGGAAAAACCGGTTCTCTGACTTGGTCACCTTGATGCCATTTCACTGTGCCACTTGAATTTAAATGCCTGCAAGCCAAGTTTAACATTCGTTTGTTTGTTCAAGAAAACATTGCAAAGGAAAAAAAAACAATAATTATTTTTTCTTAGCTGCAGTCTTTCTGACACAATGTCTTGCCCAACCTTGGTTACAAAATGCCTGTGATTTGAGTCTCTTGATAGAAACACAAACTGTTTCTATGGCAAAGCAGCTCAAGAGCCAAAGTTGTTACTGGCCCCTTAAGAGTCTCTCTCACACCTCCCTCCTCCCTGAGGAATCCCTGCCAGCCAAAGAATCAATCAATCAGAATAGAGCTCAAAGGGACCTTGGAGGTCTTCTAGTCCAGCTCCCTGCTGAAGCAAGAGAACCTCTATCATTTCAGTCAAGTGACTGTCCGGTCTCTTCTTAAAAACTTCAGTTGATGGAGCACCCACAATTTCTAGAACAACTTTTGTTCCACTGGTTACTTGTCCTCCCTGTGAGGAGGTTTCTCCTTAATTCCTGGTTGCGTCTCTCCTGGATTAGTTCCCATCCATGGTGCCTTGTCCTGCCTTCTGGTGCTTTGGAAAACAGGTTGACCCTACTCTTCTCTGGGGCGGTCCTTCAAATACTTGAACACTGCTATCATGTCGGCCCTAGTCCTTCTTTTCATCAAACCAGACATAGCCAAATCCTGCAATCATTCTGGATATGTATTCCTCTCCAGGCCTTTGATCCAGTGGTGGTATTCCACCGGTTAGGCCTGGTTTGGGCGAACCGGTAGTAAAAAAGTATCTCTTCTTTCTTTCTTTTTCCTCCCAACGATCAGCTGTTCTGATGATCGGCTGTGCCGGGATGCCCCTAGCTCTCTTAAGTGTTTTGCCCGGAAGGCTTCCCTGAGGCCCAGGAGGCATAAAGGGACACCGTGGTGTGTGTGTGTGTGTGTGTGTGTGTGTGCTGTGCAGACCCCGGTGCTCCGATTTTTGCCTCCTGGTCCTCATGGAAGCCTCCTGGGAGTAAAATCAGCCTCCCAGGAGGCTTCCCTGAGGCCCAGGAGGCAAAAAAAAAAAGGAAAAAAAGTGTGGGAGCTGCGAAGAAAAAGAAGAAGAAGAAGAAGAAGAAGAAGAAGAAGAAGAAGAAGAAGAAGAA